GGCAGGGAAGGCTTCTTGTTTGCCAGCCTCTATCCTGGGGCATGGCCCGGCAGGTAGGGGTCTGCAGCTCAGCGGTTGGGAACTACTAAATTAGGTAATATGTTTTTTAAAGGAGGTTATGTGGCCTGAAAGTTAGCAGCTTCTCAGCTAGTAGTTTCTTGTCAGGCAAGTTAGTTATAATTGCCAACACACTTTCCTTTTTGGCTCTCCCACATGCATCTAAAAGCAACTGTTGCTGTGAGAGGAAACTTATGAGCCATACCTCAATAGCAATTGATATTCCATTTCTGGGGATCAGTATGTCCCCAATGGCCAGAGTCACTGAGGGTACGTCTAGAGTACATGCCTCTGTCGCCAGAGGCATGTAGATTAGGCTACCAGACATAGTAAAATGAAGCGGCGATTTAAATAATCGCCGCTTCATTTAAATTTACATGGCTGCTGCGCTGAGCCGACAAACAGCTGATCAGCTGTTTGTCGGCTCAGCGCGATAGTCTGGATGCGCGGGTGGCGACATCAAAGGTATTTGTCGACCACCCAGGTAAACCTCATCCCTCACAGTCTCTCGAGAGGTCATTGAGTCCAGTCCTCTGCCCTCATGAGGTATGCATGCGGAGGCAGCATTGCCAGATAAGAAAAAGTAACAAGGGAAGAATCTAACCAAGGAAGGACCATTGTTTCTCATTCATGGTGAGACAAGCAGTGCAAAAACTGGATATTTCTGGATCTTACTGGACATACCAGTAAGAAATTGCCAGATAAGAAAAAGTAACAAGGGAAGAATCTAACCAAGGACAGATAATTGTTTCACACTCATGGTGAGGCAAGTGGTGCAAAAACCAGATATTTCTGGATCGGTTGAGGACATGCCAGTAAGAAGAAGAGGGTTTCACTAATGGACATCACCCTACTGGACTGTGTGCAACCAGTGGATGGCATCTCACTGGCCTGGCCCCTGTCAGGGGATATATACCACACCATTTTCCCCCATGAGTTGGAGTACATCAATTCAGTATATTAGGGTGATATGCACATCGGACTTCCGTCTCAACCAAATCAACCAACATTACCTGGGGTCTGGCCAGCCCCAGAGGATGTATGTGTGTGAAAGTGCGAGTGTGTGTGTGTTAAACTGGATTAAGAATTAGGCTGCTAAATTGGGTTAAGACTTAGATGTAGATTGTTAATTACTCTATTTAAATATTGCTTTTACTGCCTTTTACTGCTTGTGATGCCTTTTACTGTCTTTTAATGTTGTTTTAATTGCTTAGTACTAAATATACATATACATATAGTGCTTTTAAAATTGCTCCTGAATTGCCTGCAATAAAACTTGTTAAAGATATGTTTAAGATACTGTACTGTGAAAGACTCCTTTGTTATGTGAATGCTGAACCAAATGGGTAGTGTGATATGGCTTGATCAACCAGATCAGAGTGCCCTCTTGTGAAACTGTCACTGTCAGACTCAAAATGCAATGAAATTGCTAGGGCTCTAATACTTATTTTTGTTTGTAAGATTGGAATTATTGGTGGTTCTGGCCTGGACGATCCTGATATCTTGGAAGGAAGAACAGAAAAATATGTGGATACTCCTTATGGCAAGGTCTGTATAATTTTGTTGATTGCTTACTAAGGTGCTTTTTTAAAGAGACTTTTACTTGTGTGCTTTATGGTAAGTTTTACTGCCTATGATTCTTTGTATAAATGGGGGTGCAAAGGAGACACTGCTCACAATACATTGCCGAGGGTTGATTGGAGTTCTCTGTGGATCCAGGTGATGGTGTGCCCAGTGTCCAGCATCTCACCACCCAGGACACTTTCTCAGTCTAGTTCCTCATCTGTGTATGTGCTTAGCATTGTTACTGTTCTTGCCATGAGACTTATGTCTCACCTGTAACAGAAGTTAGTAAGGCAGCCTAAACCTTCCCACTCTATTAGGCTCTGACCTAGCCTTATAAGAGTCAGTTAGGGTCTGGCACCTTTGAATCCCTTTGGAGTTACCCTTACTGGATCCCTCCATTTCTTCCAACAGCTGCAAGTACAACATAAGATATCTGTAGAAAAGACAATTGAACCTTGAGTCCCAATTGGGCTCAGCATACAATCCTCTTCCTCTCAAGGAGGCTTCTTTAACACCCTTGTCCAGGAGTCTTCAGGGGAGGTTTATTTTCTTCCCTACCTTCCCTTTCTGAGCTGAGTTGCTCCATTTTAAGCCTCTTCTGTAATTGGAAGATTCTCTGCATGTCAGGAGAGGTAGGGTGGTTTCCCTTTGTAGTCTGGTGTTAAAGTCTCTTTGTAGTAAGATACATGTAGTGAGGTCATTGAGACAATGCCCAGTCTGGTTAAAATGACAAGAAACTGTTTTTTCTTTGTGAAACCGTCTGATGTCTGATTTGTGGGCATTATTTCTTTGGTGAAGTGTCTGAGAAGTTTGTCCAATATACATAGCAGATGGACACTGTTGGCACATGATGGCATAAATTATATTTCTGGATGAACAGGAATGTGTGTTCTTGATCTTGTAACTGACGTAGTTAGGTCCAATGATGGTGTCAGCAGAGTAAATATGTGGACAAAGCTGGCAACAGGGTTTGTTGCAAGGGAAAGTTCCAGGGTTGGTATTAGTGTGGTATGTCCTGTGGTTGTTGGTAAGAATCATCCTGAGGTTAGGTGGTTGTCTATAGGAGATTCCCATAGTCATACAGACACACAAACTCTTTCAAATATATATTAGATTCAAAACCGGTTTTAGAATTTGGCTGGTGGAGATCTGTCTGAGAAAAGTAAGAGAAGAGAGCTGGGTAGGAGGGCTACAGGATGTGAGGATTATAGTTGGTTAGGAATTTGTCATTAAAATACTTTATAGTTAGAAAATGTCTATTTGTTGAAACCAATATTTTGTGGGAACATACTGGCTTTGCTGAAAGTTTCATGAGGAAAGGTTTTTCTGATCCAGAATGGAACCTCTAGGACTAGGCAATAGCAGAGAAAGACCCACTGCACTATAACGTGGGAGTGAACCAGGCTCAAGTCTCTGGCCTGCCAGATATAGGTCAAGTTTATACTGGCAAGTTACTGTGCAGTAAATTATCTCCCAGTACTGAAACTCCTGAGGTGTCTACCCTGGCAAGGCACTTAGTGGTCACTAACTCCGCAGCTGCTGCTCTTTCGGTAAACCACCTTGAAAGAAAAGTGTAGAGTTTGCTGCATTCTGGACTAGGGATGTAATAGTGTAGTCGATTAATCGATAAGCTCACGGAGAGCTCAGCCCCCTCCCAAAGACAGCGGCTACTGCTACCCCATGCTGCTGCCTCTCTATCAGAGGCAGTAGTGTGGGGCGACAGGCAGCCAGTCTGTGTTTTCCTTTCATCCCCCACCCCACCTGTGCAGTTCAAGCAATAAAGAGACCAGTGCTCAAAGAACAGGAGTTTGTATTTGGGGGAAACAGTAGGAAAATGGAAGAACTTGGAATC